ATCTATCTATCTATCTATCTATCTATCTATCTATCTATCTATCTAATCTATCTATCTATCTAATCTATCTATCCATCTATCTATCTTATCTATCTAATCTATCTATCTATCTTTCTATCTATCTATCATGAATCAAAAGAGTTTTGAGAAACACACATTCAAATAAGGCAAAATAGTCTACAAGGTAATTCAAGTAATGGAGAACAAAAATTTCCCCAACTGTAAGGAAGTTATAAAGTGTAGATTCTACAGTGGCCACAATCGAAATAGGAATGACAAACCAGTAAGTGAGATAACACTAAAACAATGGATGCACGTGCAAGAGGGTGGCTAAAACAAACCAACAAACAATTGGTACCAGTGAACAACGTCTCTTTGTATATTGGAAATCTAAAAGGTAACGTCTAAACCTTGAAAGCTGTATAGTGCTCTTGTGCAGCATAGCTATCGAAAGGAAATTTTTGCGAGGAATTGTGATAAAATTCACTTGTACAATGAAAATGTGACAGCCTACCCCTGCCTTGCAAACACAATAGTAAAATTTCTGAATGAAAACATTTCACCTGCACATAAAATAAAACTACATGGAAAGCTAGGAATGGCAGAACCATTTCAATGAACAAATGTATCAAAATGATTACTAAAGTCAAAACTACAGGCTGCCTTACTTTGATTTTACATTCATACACATAGCTGTACTCCACTTCGGCAGACGACTCAGTTGCATGGATGTTTTCAGGTCTGACATCCACAGTCGCCACGTGGAAGACTGCCATTTGCATTTCATCCACAATATCATCTGTTAGTCGAGTATCATGAATGTCATACACGCCTTCAACAACACCCTGTAGAAATCCAGCATTGAGTACGATTCTGGATGTATAATCCAGATTGACATCAACTCGTCTCACTTCGAATGAAACAGGAGGCGGATGTGCTATAGAAAACAAACATTATATAAAGCATCAGTTTTTTGGAGAGACTGATTCCTCTATTGCACAGTCATGACAGACAGTTACAAGTTTAGAAAATATATTCTGTAGCCATAACACAAATAAACATTGCCAGTCACTGAAAATAGAAATAAACATTAAAACATTAAGCACTTTAAGGCAAGGCTATATGAACCCTACAGGAATCCCAGACTTTACCTGAGAGGTTTTTTATAAATCCTGGCCATTTGATACATAAATTTTGAATGACACAATTTGAAAAGATAGCTTGAAATTCTTACACCAACAAGTTAAGATGTTAATGCTGAAAAACAAAGTAATGCAATGGGAATTTTGATGGCAGCCTGCAGTTACAAGGTAGAGTAAGCTGACTTAACCTACTTGTTGCTTGACACAAACTATCATCATTCAAATCCTCACATGTACGTAACTCTCTTCAAATTTAATCAAACTGATGACTTCCAGAAGAAAATAAGCAAAATGAACCCGAACAAATACCTCAAAATGCAAGAAAGTCTAGAACTTCAAAATTTCCCAGGAAACTGCAGAACCTCCTAAGAACAAAAGGCCCTCTAGGCCTTAAAAATAACCTTCCTAACCTTAAAATTATGACAAAGTTTTTACCATATATTTGTAAACACCACTGTGTAAAATTAGCATGTACATCACCTTTGTCAAAACTGAACAGCATCAAATTCATGTTTCCCCCTTCAAATTGTGGAGTCTGACAATCCTGTTTTCTGTCTGCAAGCTTTCGCCTCACAAGACTGCCATATAAAAATCAGAATAATTTAAACCTTATTATAGGAAATTAACAATGCATGTAATTACCGCGAATTTAAAAAATTCGCGTTAATTTTATGTATCTTAATTTACCTCATTGTTAATTAAAATGACGTTAATTGAAAGCATCGTTATTTAAAGACACCTTTATTATAAGCAAAGCTACAATTCCTCTACGTCACCGTCAGAGTCGGTTGACGTATCATCATTTAATATTAAGTTCAAAATGTCCTTAGATTCATCAGTGTAGCGATCGTCTTCTCCGAGGGGATAACTCACTTCTTCAACTTTCTTAATTATGCAACATACCGCACAGAAATTCACGTTAAAATTCGCGTTAATTTTATTACGCGTAAATTTTATTCGCGTTATTAACATGCTTCGTTATATTCCTATAATATGGTAATCATGAAAATGTAAATTCATTCACAGTATCTGTAATTATAGCTGTACACCTATCAAATATCAGATAAATGACTTCATTAAAGAGATAAAAGAAAACCACAAGGCTAACAAGGGTAGTGGTTACTGTTGGAGGCTTTAAAGTTATTTCAAAGGCTTAATTTTCGATAAAGATAAATAATTTTTAAAGAGTACGTATGTAAAAATTGGCCACCATGACCACCATGACGAGTTAAAAGCTAACATTTTGAGTGTTAGCCCTTCATCAGAGAAGGAAGCCCTTCAGTTTTGCTCTCACGAAGGGCTAACGCTTGAAACATCTCCTTAAAACTCCTTTAATTTAACAGCGGCCAATTTACATTATGAACTTAGTTTTCTTCAGAAACTTACCCCCTCTATTCAATGAGTATTGTTTTAGTGAGTTAGTTGCACAGTAGTTTTGACTTTATTACAAGAGTTACCCTGATACCTTTTGAGCATATTGTAGGATCGTCTCTCTCCTGTTGGAATCTCTTTGATAACTGATACCAGTGCAGAAGTAAAGACTCCTTGAGGTTTACCAGTTTCAAAATCACGACACTCATAGGCTCTTTCATTTGTTGCACAAGCTCCCATGAAAATGAAATTGTCATTTTGCTGCGGTGACCATCCTTCTGACTTTAAAACTGGTGTCCAAAACTCACTGACTGGGTGGGAAAGGACTGTAGGTGCACTGGCTGGATTGGCTGGCTGTGTCTCTTGTAAAGGAGAAAGAGGCACTGGCTTCTAAAGTGAACAAAAATCAATTAGTAAACACCAATGCACTATCACAACCCACTAGTTGATGGTACTTCTTTGGTATGTCTTGAATATAAATGAATAGATGTCATCAGTAAAATGATTGACTAATTGGTAATAAATTGATTGAATGAGTGTCACTGACTGCATGACTAATTAATTAACTTACTTATCGATCGATTGATTGATTGAAGAGGTAAGATGGTGGACCAAATATAGTATTTTCCTAAATATGTCACATCAGAGCAATTGTGTAGTTTACAGTGAATCTAAAAAGTATGTAGCAACATGCAGAGGGAAGAAAATATCAACTTCATGAGTTGAACATTATTCTACATTTGGCAACCATCACCAACTATTGTATATAACCTGTTTGATTACCCAGAACAATCACCATCAAAGAACCAAAAAAGAATACGCAAAGTTATGTCATAGGACAGCTGCTACATGTATATGAAAAAAATATTCTGCCAAAAAAATTCTCCGAATTGTTGCACAAATTTCATCTTGGACCAAAGTTCGTTGGAGAGCCAGGAATTTCGTTGAATTTTATTGACAGGGATCTGCATAACTTTTGCATAATACTGTACCTTGGCAGTAGCTGAGCCCAGTTGCCTTACCTCAGCTGAAGAGTGCTCCCCTTCTTGCTTCACAGGATCCCCCCTTGCTTTTAGAGCCTTGCGATACTCACTGATGTATTCATCAGACAATGCAAGCTGTGCAATGAAGAGCAATGAAACACTTAACCCTTCCACTCCTAAGATCTTCTTAGCAATTCTCCTTACTGTCTGCCATACAATTCTTATCATGTAAGTTTGGAGAATTTGGTATTGGATCAACTAAAAATTCCCTAATTGATATGTTCCTTTATTCTCAGCACTTGTCTTCTTGATACTGTATTGATATTGTAAGGAGAAATTCTGCCTTGGTCATTCATGGGAGTCTAAGGGCTAATTGCAATGAATGTTTGAGTTTAAGTTTGAGTCTGCTTGTGGGTTTAGTTAAATACATTTAATAGGTAACTACTGTAACTCACAGAAATAAAAATAACGTGGTTTTTGGAAAAATACTTCTTTTTGCATAGGACTTCCTAAAATGATCAATAGTTGATGTTTTTTGAAATTTAAAGTAGTTAACTTTACTTTTACATCTAAAGTACTTGAAACAGGTTCAGTAGGGATGCACCAAATGTAAGTTTATTCTTGTAATCTCATTTATAATCTACAGATCAAAATACATATAGAAATTTATCTGCTTTGCACAATTTTTTAATTAAGAAAAACTTTAGAGGTACAGCACTAAGACACAGTCAGTGGATTTACCTGTTTTACACCTATGTGGGAGCTTTGTATCTCCGAATAACCTCTGTACAGGCGGCCAGAGAAACAGCAATCAAAGATAACATTGACCAGTGCCCCCTTGTTGATCAACTTGGACAGATGAGGCTTGAAATGTTCACCTGTTATACATGTATCAAAGATGTGGTAGTCATCAACCTGCAAAAATATTCAAACTATAAAAAGGTTGACTTAGCTTAGGCTTTGCAACAATGCTTATCAGAAAGGAGCTACACTTAGGTACATTGCACTGATCTGACTAGTTTTCTGTGAAACCATGTACAGTATATTTTTAGACTAATACTGTGTATGTTTGTCATTGAAAATGCTGTATAGGAATGGAAAAATCAACTTAAGACAAACAGGGATATAATCATGCAAGGATGGGGAAAATTGACACAGGTTGGAAACAAATGATTAGAAAAATTAAGGTTAAATGGCTGAGATAAATTAATAATAAATTAATAATAAATTTGAATGACACTGCTCCTCTAAGGTTGATAGAAATGCCACCTTACTGATGACTGATGAACATTACTATGAAACGTAATTCAATTTTCAATACCCTACAATTTTGTTTTAAGCCCTTTAGTTAGCTACTAACTATACTGAGCATCACTGCCATTTTCAGGCTGAGAGTGATCTTTTATGCAGTGTTTCCACAGATTAATGTCCATCTTCTCAGCATCTTCACTTAACAGATTGCTTGGCCAGAAAACCTCTATAGTTAACTGGGGTGGATCCAGGATTTAGTCAATTGGGGGGTCCAGAGAATTGTCCTCCTCCTGAAGGGCTTGAGATTTTGAAAATTAGGTCTTCAGAAACATGATTTCCAGCATTCTGAGGGAAAATTTAGGGGGTTTGACTGAACCACCCAAACCACCCATGGATCTGCCCCAGAGTTAAGGCAACTGACTGCGCTTTCTACTGCTTTACAAGCATCCTGACCCGTGCCAGATATTGGGAGAAAACTTGAAAAGCATCCCCTTGACTGCAAATTGCTCGCTTCGATACTATATACTCACTAAATTATAAGAATTTTGATTTTCTTAGATGAGGCCAACGATCAGTTTGTTATACACCCCTCCTTTTTATCCCTGAAGGTCAATTTTGATTGGTTTCAATTAAGTGGCAACAGAAGTTAAAGTCAATTAAATATAAGCTGTGAAATAGGAACTACAATTATTTACCATTTCTTTGGTTAAGTCACCAGGTATCAGCCCCTCATCAAAATAGCCGGCTTTTTCAGCATCAAAGCTATAACCATGGCCAGAATAATATATAACAACCACTGAACCTTTCTGTGCCTTTACAGTCAGTTCTTCCAAGGAAGCTAGGATACTTGCCCGTGATGCCATCAGACCTTCCAGGACCTTTAATGTAAGTACAGAAAGGTATTGATAAAGAATGACAAGGTTGCTCAGTAAAGTTCAAAACAGCTGTGTTGAGAAGTTAAGTTTTGAGCACATTTTGTTATAATTTTCAAAAGACTAGATCACTTTTTTGAATATATAAATGAAAATGGCATCAGTGCTCCAAGCTGCCACAATAAGTGTCCACCTTGAGTCCATTTAATTAAAAAAAAATGTATTGTTTTACACTGTTTTACGACACCTTGGCACATGTTCAACACCTTCAAACATGGCAGCTGGATACAATTGCACAATTGTATCGAGCTGCCATGTTTATTTAGCTTGTAGACATTTTTTAAAGCTTGCGCTATGTTTGCATCCAAAGCTAGCCCTATGTTAGTGTCCTGCATAGTAGAAACCCAAAGAAGCCTACTTCAACTTCCTAGTTTAAAACATATTCTCAGGCCTTTTTTTAAGCAAAAAGGACTGAAAATGCAAAGTGAAACATAATTTGCGGGGCTGAAACAACAACCTTTTTAAAAAAGTGAAAGGTGACACAGAGCTTCAAGTTTATGCTGGTTTTGTGTTACAATTTGTTGCAGGCATTAAACCACCTATAATGAGTGTTTTGAAGTGTAGGACAAACTATTGAAAAACAAGTTAAAAAATCAATCAAGGTTATACATACACAAAGCGCAGGATAATAAAATGTTGCACAGCACTTATTGCCTCTTTTGCTAATGGAAAATGAAAAACCCTGCTCCTTTTTTAGTAAGTGTTGGTTGTCTGTGTGCTATTGATTTATTGATGTACATGTAAAAGTAAATAGTGAGGACTTTGGGTTTTTGTTTCTTTTTCCAAAAATATAACTTCAGGAACACAGCACAACATAAAAAATCACAATTCCAACATCTGCAAAAACAAACTTCCCTTTTCTACCCAAAGCCAAAAATAACTTGAATAAAATTGAAATTTACTGGCCATGAGTCGCTCTGATTTTCCCTTTCTGTTGCATTTTTATTTGCTGTCATGATCCAAAGTTGAAGTGGAGCAAACATTTCTATAAATAATATTATTGGTCCATAGTTCCCCCTTTTTTTTTTTATCAGTGCTCTCTTAATTCCTTTGTTTTTCTCTGGAAACTGAAATTTCACCTAGAGCTGATTTTTGGTTCCAAATCGAGACTTGAAAGCTGGTGTTATAAATAAGTTTGGAGCACTGTATATTTTCAATGGTAGGGTTAAATTAATGATATGCAGTGCCAGACTTCTAAAAATTTAGAGACTATCTACAGACCTTAACGTTCTCTTCTTGGAATCCATTCTCACAGAGCATGTCTTTCATCATCTGTACATCATTATCCACACCTTGCAAGGGACCACAGTAGGTTGGCAAATCTGCTGCATAGTTGGGTCCGATCAAAAGTGCTAATTTTTCAGCCATTTCTCTTTAGAAGTCTGTACCTACAAAAAGCGAAAGGAAATATGGACTCAAATCATCGCCCAGGAGGTTGATTACATAAATTATGTTTTAGATGCAAATAACAAAATTAAATTAATTTTGAAGAGATGCTATCTGAGATAAATATCAAATAATCTTGTCCTACATATGTGAACTAAAAATACAGTAGACACCGTGTCCGCTTATTTCTATTCCCTCTCTGAGTCAAAGAGAAATTATTTATATCTTACGAGAGCCAGACTGTTTTATTAACGTTCTCTTCTTGGAATACTGTTTAATGCAGCTCTTATTCAGGGACGTTGAAATTTCCAAAAATGCTTAAAGATTTTTAAAAGTTGCTTGAAGATTTCCGCCTAGAACATGTCTCAGAGCTCTTCTGCGTGAAGCCAGAGGTTCTTAAGGGATTACATACAGGATTACGAATGAACACTCTTACAGGGTTTCCTCATCGCTTGAAATGAGTCAACTACACATTGTTTGACGATTTCACCCCATCAGAAAATGTTACGTCTAGGGAGGCTTATTACATGGATAACTTGACTAGTCGCTTAACATATGAGTCGTTATGGTTGAGAAACTATTTTGGAACGTATTGCAGCTCACATCAAGTTGATATGCTAGGCAACTCCCCTTGAGACCTGAAATACTCTTGAAGGATAAAACATCGAGAGAATTTTATAGCACTGTAGCTCCACAACAGATACATTTTGATTAAACCTTGAAAAACTTTAAGTTTAGAGAAGGAAACTACTATAAAACTTACCCCGACCACTGAATAATCGTTCCAGTTAATAAAGCGTTGTGGCGATCGATGTAGTTACCTTCTAAATGTAGTCAGTGCTTCATTTGCACCCGACGAAACTAAAATTTCTAAAGGTGCATGTCGGAAGTAACTCAGGGAAAGTCCCTTTCACTGGCTCCGAGCTCAATACCTCTCAGTCACGTGGAGAGTAAACAACCTTTCATTTCTGGTAGGGAAGATCTACGATCTATGATAAAATCTCTTGAAATAAGGCAATCCTGTTATTTAAGCCATAACCGTGTATGCAATGATGCTAAAATCGTCCTGAAGCGTGCACGGTTAGTTACAAAGTCGATTGTAACGCCAATTTGAAAGTCCCAGATTCCTACTTGGCCCGATTTTTGATTCTGCGTGACGTCACGATCCCAGAACGAGCAGAAATTTTCCCTTTCTTGCCATTCACGTTTGCTGCACGCTTCATTTCATTTTCACTCATTGAAGTGCCCATTAAACAAGTTGTAATACTTTGACACAGACCACAAAATTTGCTTAATGCTGGTTTAAACTTTTTGCAGTTGATCGAAATATCGAAGTGATTTTCGGTTTTATAGCTTAAGTAAGAGAATAGTACAGAAGTGGTCGTCATATCTTATGATTAGAAATCTTTATTCTTTTCATATTTGAGTTTACAATCAATCAGTATTGCATTTCAAAGTGTAAACACTATCAGCTTAAAATGTGTGATAACGGATGTCCGCATCTGTCAAGCCCGTCATATAACCTGTGAGGTGTACCTCTGCCAAAACCTCACTGGTGCCGCTTCAATTTCAATTTGATGAGACCGTCGGCTTCGATCTCGTGTATAACAAGAACCAAAGCTTCGTGCCAGAGCCTGATCTCTAGCACATTATTGGAGATGTCCATGATCTGAAAGTGCAATGTTTTTCCTGCAATGTCGAAGGCATAAAATTAGAAGGAGAACCCATAAAAAAATAATGTCGGAGTCATAAAATTAGAAGGAGAGCCCATAAAAAAATAATGTCGGAGTCATAATCTAATAAGAAGCAAGCATCTACTCGAGGGACTGAGGCGAGGTAAAGCCTAACACCATGAGCCCAAAGTTTCCTGCAAACGTTTTGAAAGCATCCTGGAGAAATAAAAAAAAAAAAAAAAAAACCATGAATTCACCTTTCAATTGTAAGAAATTCCAACGAGAGATAAGAGTGGGAGATTTCCCCCATTTTTTGTCTGTCGTACGCTAGTAGTAGTAATGTTAGAGGTACTAGTGGATGGTAGTAGTAGCAGTGTAGTATTAGTAGTGGTAATAACAATAGCAGTGTAAGTACTAGTAGAGAAAGTCGTGCAAGTAGTG